TATATATACCATATTTATTCAACCATTTCCTTATTGATGGACATAAGGGTTATTTCCAGTCTTGGTATTACAAATAGTGCTGCAATGAATGGCTTTGTACATATGTCTTTTTGTATTTTTGCCAGCATATCTTTGGGATAGATTCCTAGAAGTGGGATTGCTGGATCAAAAGGTAAATACATACGTAATTTTGTTAGATATTGCCAAGTTTTCTTCCAAGAGGTTGTGTCATTATCCTTTACCTGTTTACAGCCTCACCATAGAGTATATTGTCACACTTTGGAATTCTTTTCAATCTGATATCTCTTGTCATTTTAATTTGTATTTCTCTTGAAATAAAATTTGCACATTTTTCATATGTTTAAGGATTATTCATTTCTTTTTTATAAACTCATATATCTTGCTCATTATCTCATTGCATCATTAGTCTTGTTTCTTCTCAGCTTTGTGTGAGAGATTTTAGTTCAGTGATTCATCATTTTAATTATTATTTATTTTTTATTTTTAAATTAACATGCTATTTAAGGGCCTAGAGTCCTGGCTAAGGACCACGAAAGCCCAGCCTTGTTATGTTTTAGTAATGCAAATTGACTTTCTACTGGCCTATGCTTTCAAGATGTTCTCAAAGCAGTCTTTATTGGCTTGTATTTCTAATGAAAACATTTCAAATACACTAAAACTATGGAAAAGACTGTAACAAAACAGCCATGTACCTGGCATAAATATTTAATAAATGTTAATGTTCAATATTTGTTTTTACTTTTTTATTTTGGTAAAATGTCCACAATGTAAAATTTGCCATTTTCAACTCTTTTTTTTTTTAAAGAGGTGGGGTCTTGCAACATTGGCCAGGCTGGAGTGCTGTGGCTATTCACAGGCACAATCCTAGTGCACTACAGTCTTGAACTCCTGGGGTCAAGCAGTTCTCCTGGTTCAGCCTCCTCAGTAGCTGGGACTGCAGGCCATTGTAACAATCTTTAATTGTATAGTTCATTGGCATTAAGTACATTCACACTGTTGTGCAATCATCACTGCCATCCCTCTTCTTAAATTTACAAGTGGGAACTGTATACCCATTCAACAATAACTCCCCATTACCCAGTTTCCCTAGCCCCTGGCACCCACTGTTTACTTTTCTGTTTCTATGAATTCGACTACTCTAGGTATCTCATTTAAGTGGAATCTTATAGTATTTGTCCTTTTGTGACTAGCTTATTCCTCTTAGCATAATGTCTTCAATGTTTATCAATGTTGTACTGTGTGTCAGAACTTTATTTTGGGGGGGATGTGGTCTCACTCTGTTGACCAGGCTGGAGTGCAGAGATGTGATTACTGCTCACTGTGGCCCAATCTCCCAAGTGATCTTCCCATCTCATCCTCTCAAGTAGCTGGGACTATGGGCACTCATCACCATGCTCAGCTAACTTTAAAAAATATTTTTGTAGACATGGCATTTCCCTCTGTTTCTCAGGCTGGTCTCAAACTCCTGGGCTTAAGCTGTCCTCCCACCTTGGCTTTTCAAAGTGTTGGGATTATAGGCAGGAACCACTGCACCCGGCCAGAATTTCCTTTTTTTAAAAGGCTAAATAATATTCCATTGTATGTATACCACATTCATTTTGTTATCCATTCATCTGGCGATGGACACTTGGGTTGCTTCCACCTTTTGGTTATTGTGAATATTGCTGCCGTGAACATTTATGTACAAATACATGTTTGAGTCCTTGTTTTTAATTCTTTTTGGGTATATACACAGACAGACATAGATAGACAGATAATATGATAATTAAAAATATTTTGCTCTACAGTTTTCTACAGTGGACCATGCCCAACTGATGTTGAGCTTTTTTTATGTTTGTTGGCTGCATAAATGTTTTCTTTTGTAAAGTGTTCATGTCCTTTGCCCACTTTTTAATGGGGTTGTTTGGGTTTTTCTTGTAAATTTGTTTAAGTTCCTTGTAGATTTTGGATATTAAACCTTTGTCAGATGTATAGATTACAAAAATGTTTTCCCATTTGTTGTCTGTTTGCTCTGATGATAGTTTCTTTTGCTATGCAGAAGCTCTTTAGTTTAATTAGATCCCATTTGTCAATTTTTTTTGCTTTTGTTGTTTTTGTCATGAAATCTTTGTCTGTGCCTGTTCCTGAATGGCATTGCCTAGATTTTCTTCTAGGATTTTTATAGTTTTGGGTTTACATTTAAGTCTTTAATGCATCTTGAATTAACTTTTGTATAAGGTGTAAGGAAGGAGTCCAGTTGCAATTTTCTGCATAGGGCTAGTCAGTTCTTCTAGCACCATTTATTAAGTAGGGAATCCTTTCCTTAGTGCTTGTTTTTGTCGGGTTTGTCAAAGATCAGATGATTGTAGATATGCAGTTCTGAGTTCTCTGTTCTGTTCCATTGGTCTAGGTGTCTGTTTTCCTACCAGTACCATGCTGTTTGGATTACTGTAGACTTGTAGTATAAAGTCAGGTTGAGTTATGCATCCACCTTTGATCTTTGATTGTCTTGGCACTTTTTTGGTTTCATATGAAATTTAAAAGTTTTTTTTTCTAATTCTGTGGAGAATGTCAATGGTAGTTTAATGGGAATAGCATTGACTCTATAAATCACTTTGGGCAGTATGACCATTTTCACGGTATTGATTTTTCCTGTTTGTGAGCACGGAATGTTTTTCCGTTTGTGTCCTTTCTGATTTCCTTGAGCAGTGGTTTGTAGTTCCCCTTAAAGAGGTCCTTCACTTTCCTTATTAACTGTATTCTTAGGTATTTTATTCTCTGTAGTAGTTGTGAATGGGAGTTGATTCATGATTTGACTTTCTGTTTGTCTGTTGGTGTATAGGAATGCTTGTGATTTTTGCATATTGATTTTGTATTATGAGATTTTGTGGAAGTTGCTTCTCAGCTTAAGAAGGTTTTGGGCTGAAACGATTGGATTTTCTAGATATAGGATCATATCATCTGCAAACAGAGACAGTTTGGCTTCCTCTCTTCTTATTTGAATACGCTTTGTCACTTTCTCTTGCTTGTTTGTCCTGGCGAGAACTTCCAGTACTACACTGAATAGGAATGGTGAGAGAGGGCATCCTTGTCTTGTGCCAATTTTCAAGGGAAATGCCTCCAGCTTTTGCCTATTCAGTATGATGTTGGCTGTGGGTTTGTCATAAATGGCTCTTATTATTTTGGGATATGTTGCATCAATACCTAGTTTATTGAGAGTTTTAAACATGAAGGGATGTTGAATTTTATTGAAGGCTTTTCTGTGTTATTGAGATAGTCATGTGGTTTTTGTCTTTAGTTCTGTTTATGTGATGAATTATGTATATTGATTTGGGTATGTTGAACCAGCCTTGCATTTCAGGGATGAAGCCTACTTAATTGTGGTAGATGAGTTTTCTGATGTGCTGCTGGATTATGTTTTCCAGTATTTTATTGAGGATTTTTGCATCGATATTCATTAGGGATATTGGCCTGAAGTTTTCTTTTTTTGTTGTTTCTCTGACAGATTTTGGTATCAGGATGATGCTGGCTTCACAAAATGAGTTAGGGAGGAGTCCCTTGTTTTCAGCTTTTTGCAGTAGTTTCAGAAGAAATGGTACTAGCTCTTCTTTGTACCTCTGGTAGAAATCAGCTGTGAATCCATCTGGTCCTGAGCTTTTTTTGGTTGGTAGGCTATTTATTACTGCCTCAATTTCAGAACTCATTATTGGTCTATTCAGGGATTCAACTTCTTCCTGGTTCAGTCTTGGGAGGGTGTATGTGTCCAGGAATCTATCCATTTCTTCTAAATTTTCTAGTTTATTTGCATGGAGGTTATTTATAGTATTCTCTGATGGTCGTTTGTATTTCTGTGGGGTCAGTGGTGATATGCCTTTATCATTTTTTATTGTGCCCATTTGATTCTTCTCTACTTTCTTCTTTATTAGTCTAGTTAGTGGTCTCTCTATTTTATTATTTATTTATTTATTTTAAGACAGAGTCTCATTTTGTCACTCAGGCTGGAGTGCAGTGGCATGATATTGGCTCACTGCAACCTCCACCTCCTGGGTTCAAGAGAGTCTCCTGCCTCAGCCTTCTGGGAAGCTGGGATTACGTAGCATGTGCCACCATGCCCAGCTAATTTTTGTATTTTCAGTAGAGACAAGGTTTCACCATGTTGGCCAGGCTGGTGTGGAACTCCTGACCTCAAGTGATCTGACCACATCGGCCTCCCAAAGTGCTGGGATTACAGGTATTTCATTAATTCTTTTAAAAAAAACAGCTCTTGTATTTGTTGAATTTTTTTGAAGGGTTTTTTGTGTCTCTGTATCCTTCATTTCCTCTCTGATCTTGGTTATTTCTTACCTTCTGCTAGCTTTGATGTTTGTTTTCCCTTGGTTCTCTAGTTCATTTAGTTGCGATGTTAGGCAATCTTTCTAGTTTTTTGATGTGGGAAATTTAGTGCTATAAATTTTTCTCTTAACGCTTGGGATATGTTTTAAAGATAGTACCTACAGAGTTATTTTACAGATTGGATGTAAGGTATAAGAAAAAGGGAGGGAAGCAAGGATAACAACACTTTGTTTTTGATTGAGGGAAAATACTTACTAGGAGCATCTTTCACTCAGAGAGTACTTAGAAGGAATCAAGCTGAAAATTTAAGTTTGAAATGCCTATTAAGTATCTTCAATGTTTGACATTAGAATACTAAATTTCAGTCCAACGTAACAGTAGTGGTTTATATTCCCACCAGTTTTATATGATCCATTTGGGTGAACTCTGGATTTGGGTGCCTCTTCAGCAAGAGACAGCATGCCAAACTACTGTTCTGTGAAGAGTCATTGACAATCAGTGCACTAAGGGCACCTATCATTTATACAACAAAAACCCTACTTAATTGTTTTGTGCAAAATCAGTTGTGAAGTAAATTCTATAAAGTTAGGTTTATTAAGTTTATGTTTTTATACCTTGACTTTTCTTTAATTGGAATTCACCTGTTTTTGTTTCATTTTTCATTCTAGATGCCGGCTCTGGTATGGAAGAGGTAGAATTAAGCTGGGAAGATTATCTAGAAGAAACAGGGTCCACAGCAGTTCCCTATGGGTCTTTTAAACATGTAAGCAATAACTATATTTGCCTTACTGGTGTTATATTCCTTTATTTCAAATCTCTGTATCATCATTAGAGAATGTAAAGCTATTTTAATTCGTGGTACTTGAAAGAATTTAAGAGCTTTTTCTTTCCTCCTGCCACCCTTAGTAAGAACCCTTGCCATATTCTAAAATTGTTTTAGTTTTGTGTATTTTTCGCCACTCAACGCATGATTTATCTTTTTGACTGTTCATGAATATTCCTTTATTTTTGTCAAAAAACCTTGTCAGAAATTGAAGAAAATTATTTATTGCACTTTATTGCATTTATTTTGTTGCATTCATTGAAAGTAATTTCAATAGCATTATTTGCTGTCACTCTTACTGAGCAGATTGTAAGTATGACATACATACTTACATATCGTATTAGTGGCCTATGCAGGCCAGTTTTATTCCCTAACAACCCAGTTTAATGCTTTGTCAATGACAACATATTTGCCTTGTGTAATGACTTTAGAATGTAAGAAAGTACCCCAAATTTTGTTCATAATTTATATCTAGACCTAGGGTTTTTTTGGTGGGGCAGGTCAGGTTCTCACTCTGTTGCCCATCACAGCTCACTGTAGCCTCACCCCCCTGGGCTCAGGTGATCCTCCCACCTCAGCCTCTTAAGTAGCTGGGACTACAGATGTACACTACCACACCTAGCTAATTTTTAGTAGATATGGTGTTTCACCATGTTGCCCAAGCTGGTCTCAAACTTCTGGGCTCAAGCAATCCATCCACCTTGGCCTCCCAAAGTGCCGGGATTACAGGTGTGAGCCACTGTGCCCATCATAGACCTAGTTTTTACCCTAACTCCCTCTTAAAACACACAGAATAATTGATTCCAAAACTACTTATTTCATATTTGTCATAGCCTGCTTGGGCTGCCATAACAAAATATCACATATTAGGTGGCTTAAACAACTGACATTTATCTTCTCACAGTTCTGGAGACTGAAAGCCCAGGATTAGGGTGTGTAGCTGCTTTCTGGTGAGGACTCTCTTTCTGGCTTGCAGATAATTGCCACATTGCTGTGTCCTCACATGGTAGAAACAGAGAGAGCTCTCTGGTGTCTCTTCTTAAAGGACACTAATTCTGTTAGATCAGGGCTCTATCCTTAGGCCCTCTAAATGTTTGTGTCCTCCCAAAATTTATATGTTGAAACCTAATCCCCATTGTGGTGGTGGTGGTATGAAGAGGTGAGGTCTTGGGGAGGTAATTAGGCCATAAAGGTTCTTTCTCCTGAATGGGATTAACGCCTTTATAAAGGAGGCCTGAGAGAACTTGTTTTCTCCTTCCACCATGTAAAGACAGTAAGAAGGCACCATCTTTGAAGCAGAAAGTGAGCCCTCACCAGACCCTGAATCTTCTGGGGCCTTGATCTTGGACTTTCCAGCCTCCAGAATTGTGAACAGTAAAGTTCTATTGTTTATGCACTGTCCAGTCTAAGTTATTTTGGTGTAGCAACCCAAATGGACTAAGACAACCTTTATAAAGGGCCTGTCTCCAAACAGAGTCAGACTGGAGGTTAGGGTTTGAACATACAAATTTTGGGGTGAACAGTTCAGCCCTTAGCAGTGGTCAATAGGGCATAGTTTTTTTTTTTTTTTTTTTGAGACAGAGTTTCACTCACGTTACCCAGGCTGGAGTGCAATGGTGCGATCTCGGCTCACCGCAACCTCCTCGTCCTGGGTTCAGGCAATTCTCCTGCCTCAGCCTCCTGAGTAGCTGGGATTACAGGCACGCACCACCATGCCCAGCTAATTTTTTGTATTTTTGGTAGAGACGGGGTTTCACCATGTTCACCAGGATGGTCTCGATCTCTTGACCTCGTGATCCACCCGCCTCGGCCTCCCAAAGTGCTGGGATTACAGGTTTGAGCCACCGCGCCCAGCCTAGGGCATAGTTTTTTTGTTCTAGGATTTGTAAAGACACTGATGTTACATCTTTACATAAATAAAGACCCAGCACACTCACTATTGTTTGTGACTTTGTGAGGTTTGACCATATTCTTTTAGCTGTTGTCTTTATATGCCAAATAATGCCACTATTTTTATTTTTATTTTTTGAGAGGGAGTTTCGGTCTTGTTGCCCAGGCTAGAGTGCAATGGCGCAATCTTGGCTCACTGCAACCTCTGCCTCCCAAGTTCAAGTGATTCTCTTGTCTCAGCCTCCCAAATAGCTGGGTTTACAAGAGTGCATCACCACACCCACATAATTTTTTGTGTTCAGTAGAGATGGAGTTTTACCATGTTGGTCAGGCTAGCCTCAAACTCCTGACCTCAGGTGATCTACCTGCCTTGGCCTCCCAAAGTGCTGCGTTACAGGCATGAGCTACCAGGCCTGGCAAGTTCCACTATTTTTAGTTTGTCCTCATGTGAAAACTCAGTCATGTTAGCTGCCCTTTTTGATCATTCTTAGTTCATGTGTATCTCTCTTAAAGTGATGAGAATTATGTATTTCAGATAAGGATTTTATTTCATATTGCATTGGTTAATCTTTTGTAATTGTTCTCAGTATTCTTTAATAACATGGAAAGTCTGTTTACTAGTTATATAATACCTTTGAATTCTTGTTTGTGATGCTATTCTAATATGTACTTACCCAAGCTTATTTATTTGTGCTAATCAAATGGAGAACAAATTTTCTTACAAAGATTCTGGTTCTGACAATGTCATGTTAAAGAAACAGATTTCATCTCTTCCTCTTTGAATGACAAAGCAACCAGGAGAGTGGAAAACAAATGCATACTTCTTTATTGGCAAATGTAGGAAATATTTGTAAATCCGAATCATAATGTATGGTGAAGGGCTGCCAAATATAGTGAAATCAAGCATGGATGTGGAAAGATTCTGAGATGGGATGCTTGGGGCTAGCAAATCATAGGCAAAGCTGGTAGAACTCAGATCTCCAAATCAAAGGAGATAGATGTGCAGCCCAATGGCCAGAATTTTACAGGATCCAATCTGGAACACAGGAAGGAGGATTAGAGGTTAATCAGATTTCCAGGGAGAAAGGATCTCAAAGAGTGAAAAAGCCTTGCTCCTGAGCATTCTGGTGGAAGGAACAGCACCCACTGTGGGAAAGGCACTAAGCGTTACCTAGATGCTCTAGTACAAAAGCTTTAAACTGTTAGGGAAGGATTACAAACTCTTATTAATCCTGTGACAAAGGTACAGACCTGTTATACCCTGGGAAATAGAATAGAGGGGAAAATAAGCCCTCTGTCCCTGGAAGAGGGATAGGAATACATATTGGAGCATTATGGGTTCTCTACAGTTGAGGGACAGGTACAATCACTGAGAAGTTCCCACCCTCTAGACCCAGGGACACAGAGCCTCCAAGACTGTGGCGGAATCTCAGAGAGCGCTTCCTGCTACTTGTCCCCTGCCACCAAGTTAGAGTGTTGGAAAATGGCAGTCTGTTTTATGGGAGCAGCAAGAGCATGGAGAAAGATGGTCTCTGAGGTGCAGTCACCAAAAAAAAAGAGACCTGAATCTGAGGGTGGAACAGCAGACATTGAGATAAAGGAAAAACCCTCTGGCAAATGAGCCTCTACCCTAAATACTAGATGATACTAGAGGAGTTTGAAGCCTGTGGTGCACTTGTGAATGTACCATAGCAACAATAAAATCCAAATCCAGCTTCATGCCTGACTAGATTGACTTAACTTTCTCTCTCAAACTAAAGATCTAAGAAAAGAAGAAACATGCCCATTTCTAGGCATACATACCATTTGCCTCAGTCTTGTCTATTCTAAACATAATGTCTGGCTTCCAACCAAATATTATGGGGCACATAAAGAAGCAAACAAACAGCAAACTGTCAAAAGACAAAGCAATCAATAGAACCAGATTCATATGACCCAGATGTCAGAATTTTAAACAATGGTGATTAATAGGTTAAAAGCTCTAGCAGAATAGGTGGAGAATGTGCCTGAACAGAAAAGGAATTGCAGCAGAGTTGAAAGCTATTAGAAAAAATGAAATAGAAATAATAAAAATGAAAAATGTGATAACAAAGTTGAATACCTTTGGCAGGCTCACCAGTAGATTTGACACAGCTGAGGAAAGGATCCATGAACTTGAAGACAGATCAATAGAAATTGCCCAGATTGAAACGCAAAGAGAAAAAAGGGTGGGAATTTAAAAAAGACCAGAGCAACCAACAGTGTAAGATATAATATCAAAAAAGTATAATATATTTATAATTGGAATCTCAGAAGGAAAAAGGAGAGTGAGGAAAAGATATTTGATAAGATAGACAATTTTCAAAAGAAAGAAAGATACTATACCACAGATCCAAGAAACTCAGAGAATGCAAACAGAATAATTGCTAAACAAATAAAACCCACCCAGATACATCATGTTCAGTCTACTGAGAACCAACGAGAAAAAGGAGAATTCTTTTCAGATGCTATGCAACCTAGATCATGGAGTAAGATTTTTAAGATGTTGAAAGACAAAAACTTAACCCGGAATTCTATATCTAGCAAAAATTTCATCCAAAAGTGAAGGAGAAATAAAGACTTTTTAAAGGAAAACAGAAAGTAAGGGAATTCATTACCAGGAGACCTGCACTACAAAAAACAGTAAAGAAACTTCTTAGACAGAAGGAATTCGATATAAGACAGAAACTTGAATCTACACAAAGAATTACAGGAGTGGTATAAATGTAGGTAGATACAAAGTTCGTTTTTTTAAATTTCACTATCTCTAAAAGATAACTTTGAAGCAAAACTAGTAGAGATTTGCTGTGTGTTTATAGCATGTGTAACTATAATAACAAATGATGGGGCAGAGGATTGGGAGTATCTAGTTCTAAGATCTTTACACAACATGTGATGTGGTAAAATGGTCTTTGTAAGTCGACTACAATTAAAGATGCATATTGAAAACCTTTTGGCAGCCATTAAATTGAAAAAAATTATTGTAAAATATACATAAAATTTGCCATTTTAGCAATTTTTAAAAAATAATC